TTATCAATGGTTTATCTTCACTGTAAAACCCTACAGCTGCGCCAACCAAAGACGACAAGCATTAGAGGACTACTCATGTCGCAGCAGAAACACCAGCAACAGGCAAGAACATTCCATTACAAGTACGTCGATTACATAAAGACGCTAGCCCTGCTCGTGGCGAACTCGAGTGGGATCGCGGATCTTTCCGAACAAAACGTCATTGCAGGCGCTGAGCAAATAGCTACCTTCGAAGCAGAATTATTTGGAGTTGCGTATGTGTGTGGAGAAAAAAATGCAGTAGTTGTCAGACTTGGGCACGAATACTTTTTTTATTCCATGCCAAAAACGTTAGTGTATATAATTTTAAAAATATAAAATTTATACAATTTTTCAATTGTAAAAAATACAATACATTATACATGATCAAAACATTAGATAATACACGTATGAAAATCGGTTAAAAAACTTTTGTCAACAAAAACAGTGCGAGAAAAAAAAATCGAATTAAAAAAGTACTTGATTTAAAATAATTCACAGTAAACTTTAGTATACAAAATCTATTGCGTTTATCTGCTAGAAAAAAAAAATTACTCATATTTTATTCTGAATTATAATAATAATGAATATAAAAATTTTGTAGCTAAAAAATACATTGAAAGTCCGTGCAATAATTGTGCCCAACTCTGGTAATATTGACTTTGAAACTACGATAAACTCAAAGTGCCAGGCTATTGTCACGTACGATATCATAGCGCGTACTTGCGCCCCTTCTTCCCTGGGCCTACTGAAGACAACTGTAGAATGTCCTTACCTTCTATAGGAAAAATCATGCTGTAAAAATTAAAAAAAAATATTTCAAATTTTAAATTACCGTAGTTTCAAAGTAAAATTTACTGCATATATTTTTTCGTACAGAATTATTAATTTTCTCGCACTGGGATCAATTGAAATGTCTTTTCAGATACTCGAGGCTCCTGGAAAATCGGACATTTATCGTCCCGTGGTTCTCAGAAAGTTTCAAAATGTCACAGACCAGTTTGCGAAGAATAAGTCTCATGGGGTGTGAGAAACACGTACTTTTGGATTATTTTTTGTTTGTTTTACACATCATTGTTTTCGTCAAAATCTGTTCTCAGATTGACTGGGTCAGTATCATAAACAAAATGCATCCCGAGAAAACGTTGGTATCCGCCGACGATGTGGTCGATGTCTCTACGGTCGGTTATTTTACAAAACTCATGCAATTGTTGCATAAGACGCCTTTGCAGACAATAGGCAAGTGTATTTTATTTTTTCTCCACTAAAAAAGTACTATCACAAAATTTGCCATTCGTTTGAAAGATACACACATAACAATTTATACTTGGTAGAAATTATCATTTTAACAGAAAAAAAAAAAAAAAATATTTCGTATTTTTCTCGGTAATAGTGGGAAAAAAAAAATCTTTACAAATTAATTTTTCAGTAAACTACCTCCACTGGAGATTCGTTAGTCAATTTCTTCCGTACACCAGCAGTAATTTAAGAAATTTTTACTTCGGAATGCAGAATTTTATGGAAGATCCCATTAAAAACACTCTTATTGCTTAAAGTAGTTGTTACCAATTAATCAAATAAAATTATTTCCACTTGGGGATTAAAAAATTTTTTTTGTTAATTAAAACCACAAGTTGTTCTACTCAGCAACCGTAAATTGGTATGAGAATATATGAGCCATTAAGGAATAGGGTTTTGAAAAAAGTACTTGCAACTGTTAAATGTTACTCTTTTTTTTCGAAATTAAACTGACTTTTTTTCTGGAACTTGACAAACAGCCATTGTCGAGGGTAATGTCGGAGCAGGAGAAACCGCAGAAGGGCCCTTTCAGATCATGAGAACTTTTTACAAGTCGTGCATGGATACAGGTAAGACAAACATTTTTTTATGAATGAAAATTGATTTTTTCTTTTTTTCTTTTCAACTCATATTCGTAAAAAGCCAAGTGCGTCGCCATTCACATGGGGGTTTTTTTTATTGCTCCGAAGACAAAATAGACGAGTTAGGAATCGAGCCGATAGCAGCGGTTCTGGCGGAGCTGGGGGGTTGGCCGATTTTACGCAATGACCACCCGGATGTAGCGGCCAAGAATTGGCAGGATATCCATTTGTTTTACGGTAAAATCGACGTATCACCTCTCTACGAAATCACCGTGAACGATGACGCTTTTAGGCGAACTCACACGATTTTGGTAATCATTTAATGATCTGTAAGGAAGAACAGAGAGTGGTTACATTTTTTTTTTTTTTTCGTACAAACAGATAATTCTTACTAAATTTTTTATGAAGTCAGGTTTAATATACTTTTAAAAGTATGTGAATTTATAGTTACAACGTAACAATTTTTTACCATTACTTTAATAGTTAAATTGAAGATTCTTTGAAAAATTTAACTAAAACACAGTTTTCTTAATTGTAGTGATTAAAACTTCCAACGCAATGATATTGGTATATTAATTTGATTATTGTCTAAATATATATTATTTT